CCCCCCCCCCCCCCCCCAGTACCTGACTCCCTTCTCTCTCTCTCTCACGCACACACACCTATACACACACACAATTTCCTCAGCCCTGGCCGTGGGAACTGCCACCCCGGGGGGCCCCAGCAGAGCCCCCAGCACAGGGCAGCTCTCCTGGGGCTGCACAGCCGCAGGCCGGGCACCCACCCCAGGGGCATCGCCGTGGGGTGCCCACACTGGAGGCACCACAATGGCACCCACTCCAGGGGCACCACCATGGGGTGCCCATGCCAGGCACACCACCATGCGGCGCCCACCCTGGGGGCATCGTGGTGGGGTGCCCACTCTGGGGGCATCGCCGTGGGGTGTCCGTGCCAGGGGCATCGCCATGGGGCGCCCACACCAGGGGCACCACCACGGTGCACCACTCCAAGCCACCCACTCCAGGGTGCCACCCAGGGGCACCCCGCACCCCACAGCCCTGCAGCAGCGGTCCCAGCCCAGCAGTGCGCGCTCGCGGCTGCCTTCCTTCCACCTTCGCTCGTCCCGGCGGCTGTTAGGTGCCACGTGCTGCCGCCATCCCCACCGGATGTGCGGTGAGCCCGGACCCAGCTGGTAGTGGCTACTTGCACAGCATGTGCTTCTGGCACCTGCCCGGGTATACGTTGCTGCACCACCACCGCAAACAAAGGTGTCACCCAGATGCTCTCCTTTCCCCTTCCTGCAACCCACAAACCCAACGGTGTGCATGCAAATGCTGTGCGAGGCCTTGCTCAACAAATGTACATTGCACAATACACACCAGATAGCACAACAAATACATGAGACGAGGGGCCTCGGTGTCTTGCCCCCGCCCGGGTATACGTTGCTGCACCACCACCGCAAACAAAGGTGTCACCCAGATGCTCTCCTTTCCCCTTCCTGCAACCCACAAACCCAACGGTGTGCATGCAAATGCTGTGCGAGGCCTTGCTCAACAAATGTACATTGCACAATACACACCAGATAGCACAACAAATACATGAGACGAGGGGCCTCGGTGTCTTGCCCCCGCTGCAATGTGCCATATATATTTAATTGATCATACGATATGAATATCCTCAACAAAAAAAGTAAACACACAGCAAGTCTTTTTCACTAATTAATGCATCCACCACATACGCAAAAGACTTCTACCATGTTTTCATGCAACATATTCCCAAGTGTTCTATAACATAACAAAACCATTCAACTTCTTTTATTCACATGACAAATAAAATGTTCACAGATCCCTGGACCTAGAAACATTGTCTGCATACAGCATGCAAACATCATCTCATACAGCCATTCATGCAGCGTCTCCATACATTCAGAAAAACACAGAGCATAAAGCACAGCCGTGCATACATCGAAACATGATACACGTGTTTCATAATTTCGTTTATAAATTTTATTCTCACAGCTACAAATTTTCACATATGTGGAATGGGTGCATAATAAAAGTTTCTCCACCACAATATATGTACATACTCATAAGTCTGCCTCTGTAGGCACATGCAATACATTTTGTTTCGCAAGAATGAAAGAAGGCTAATTAATTCAAATTAAGTCTTACTTGCTGATGGAAAAAACTGTGCACACGGACATTTACCACAGAGCAGAAATAACTTGTTACACATGTTATCTTGTACGTAATTCTAAATCCTGGGTTTCTGGATGCAGCCTGGCTGAACTGATATGTCTGTGGCATTTCATCAGACAACTCTTCCATAAAATGTTGGATTGAAATTTGGTACCCAACAATATCATTTATTTGCATCAGAACTCTGCGGTTCTTCTGAACTATCCCTTATCCCTGCTTTTTGTTATCGTTGTTTAGACTGTCACAACCCTGCAGAATCATTTTGTATTCCATTTTCTTTCCTGAGACCGTCTCTGGTCAAGATTCATTCGCTGCAGCACCTGCTAGTGTCTCAGCCTCCTGCTTCCAACACCTACTGATTATCCCAAGGAAAAGCCAAACCACACCAGTACTGACACCACAAGGTAACCTTAGGATCACTTTACTCTGCCTTTGTAAAGCAATCATTTTATCTCCTACCATAATAATGATTTTTACATTGTGAATAAACATATCAGGCAAGATAAAAAAATCCTTTATCTGTGCACAGCAAAATGCCCCCCAAAAGAGTTAAAACATAACTTTTCCTTATTGCACATAACATACAACTTCCCTTACTATTGTATTTTATATACATACCACTTAACACAGTGCGTACACAGCACTTACAGTGCTTTTTTCCCCATCTTGTAGATAGTATTTCAATTTGAAATTTCAAGATTAGTCACTTTGATCAGGATGCTCTTACAGTGACAGTATGGAGGGATACTACGGTCCATACCTACCAGATGCTTTTAGTATATGCTGTCCTAATAATCAGCATCCTCTTCCTGGGAGGCTTTTAATTGCCTGGACATTCATTTTTACTACTCTACATTCAAGCTCTGTGGGTGATACAGGAACTCATGCTCCTGCAAGTTATTGGAAGAAGTCTGCTATCTCTTCCTGAACGCACACATTCCCAGCAGCAACCCGTGCCTTGCTCTTGTGCTTCGGATAGTGTTTGCAATTTGTTTCTGATTCAGCCATCTGGATGAGGAGTCAGCATTATCGTTGTTTGTGTTCGGGCATATACGTGGTTATTAAATCAGAGTATCAGCTTTTCCAATCTCCTGGCAAGTAGCTCCAGAATTCCTGACTCCAAAGCATCATTTTATGGGGTCTTCTGGTAACAAATTTACTCCCATGTGAATATATGGATAGTGCCCAACAGAGTTCATGTCTGCTGGAAGTTCCCATTGGAGGGTGTGCGAGTTTTTCTCTGAGCTCAGATTATTGCTGTAGTAAGCACAACTGTCTCAAGTCCTTTCTGCATTTGTGTCAATGCCTTCCTAGGTCTGCAGGTACAAGCATCTGTGTCCATTGTGAAAGAGGTTTCTAATTGCTTAGAGTCACTTTGCTGCCTATGAAATGGTTTCTCTCTTTACTCACCTGTTGGATCAGCTCAGCGCTGCGCTAGATCAACTCAAAGACAAAGCCAAGGAGAATTCTGTCTCCTTCTTTGGCAGTTGTAGCTCTCTATTTTGTTATTTCCTGATTGTAAGAAATATTCAGCAAACAGGGATCAGTTCCTGCTCTAAGACCTATAAGGAAGTTCACAACCTAATTTCTCCTGACATTTCAAAGCAAATCACAACCACTTCCTTTTCTAGAGAGTACCAGAACAAGTAGCTGTTTCCCTAACCCCTGTTAGGGAGTGAGTCAATCACTGCAAACCAGATGTCTACAAATTATTTGCTTCATCTGGTCTCATCTTTCAAAGGAATTTCCACACAGTCCGTTTATGAGACATTTCTGTTGGCGAGTATTGTGGAATTATTAACCATAATTGAATCAAAATCAGCTTCTCTGACTATCCAGACTTCAGAGTCAAATTTCAGAGGCAAGGTTTTCCAGATTTCTTTTTCGACACGTTTGTTTGTTTCTCTCTTTCTTTGAAATCAGTTATAGAGTTCAGTTTTTCACAAGTTTGATTGCTATGTCATGTCCAGCACAGATGAGAAAAGGTCCACTACTCCTATATATTTTCCAGATCCTATTACACATTCATCAGCAAAATCCTGTTTATTGTTCTCATCTGGATGCTTTGGCGACAACGAACCCTAAATGTTTCCAAAATTTGGAAATAGGTAGGATGTATTTGTGTGTGTGTTTGTATGTATGTGCGTGCTTGTATCTGTGTGGTAAGGAGGTAGAAATATTCTATATTTTTCTATATCAACACTGGTATCTGTATCTTTCTGTGTCTTTTTATATCTATATGCGTACATCTGGGTTTGTACATCTGTGCCTCTCTGTATCAACGTGATTCTCTTCTCTGCTTCTCTCCTCTGTTACCCACATTGCAGGATACCTCACTGGATCATTAGACAGATTTTATTATTAAATTGTTCCGTGCAACAGACAGCTTGTTTACATATGCTAGTACTAATGTCAAAGTTTGAATGTATGCATCAAAATACAGTGAGAAAGAAGACTTAAGTACAGAAAAATATCTTACGAAAGATGAAACTTCACAGAAAAAATATTTCTGAAAAATTCTGCACAAAATGGTATATCATAAAAAATGTTCATTTACCAGGGGTGAAATTGCCATTCACTGATATGATCTAATCAGCAAAATCCCACTTCCCTTTGCTACCTGTAAATTATGCCATTATTTCATCTCGTGTTCCCTCCAAAGTGGTGCAAATTATGTATTTCATATAGGTAGCTCCTAGCTGCAGGTGAATTACCCTCATGGCAGCTCTCCATAGAATTGGAAATAAATCGCTAATGATATATAAAATATTGAAAGTAAAATTTATCATCAGTTTTTTATATCAATGTTCTCATCAGAGTAGTGAGTGACAACCTATTGTTTTCTATTTTCATATCTAAGGTATATTAGAAGCATACTAAAATATCTTCCAGTTATACAGCTGAACATCAGAGCTTGAGGCTGTTATATACTGAAATGTGATGGGAGTCCTTTGGGATGTATCATGGGTATTTGTCTCTTTGTAAGTTGTATAAATAAACATTTCTGCCTCAGCCGGAATATTGGCTCTCATTGTCATTTTACAGATTTTATCCTTCCTACCAGCAGTCACTCTGGAAGATTTTGAATTACACTTCCAAAAAATAATTCTCATTCTTTTGAGTGCATCAGAACAATCCTCTTGTGTAGGCAAATTTTCAGTCTTTGACTGTACATGCAAGAAAGGCAGAAAGACTCAGACTTTAAAAGAACCAAACAAAGTAGTCGATGTAGAGACAAACAAACCTCTCTTGTACCAACTAAACAAGAGTGCCTTTATTATTTATTTAGACAAACATGGCAGATAGGTTTAAAAGAAATCACGTGGGTGGTTCTGGATTCTTGCACGGGACAATCGACCCCTGGATTCCTTGCCCAGAAGAACCAAAGGACAACGTTGGGGCAGGAAGCCCCTGGGTTCAGGGGAGACGCAGCCTTTAAAAGGGATAATCGCTGGGTTTTACTAAACAGACAGACCACAGCTGGCTCAGAAAATTCCCTGCACTGAAAATGGTCAGAAACTGAGAAATAGAAATTATGGGGAGAAAGTATCGTGCTTGCCCTGTTCTCGCTTTGCTTAGGCATGCCTCTGTGGTCGCTGCTAGAGACAACATATCGCGTTAGATTGACCCTGCCTGAACCAGTACCGTAACTCCTACATCTATCATTTTCATCTTTAGCAAAGAGAAAAGGGTTGCTGTACCGCTACCGCTACATTTCACTGCTGAAAGGGCTGATGAAAAATTATCCTGGAAAACCTGTATTTTTTGCCAGTAATTTTTGAGCAAAATTGTAAGCTGTACATGTAGGGTTTAAATTCTTTGTCAAAAAGAACATTGGCTGGTATGTGTATGCAATCCCTTGAAGATTAAAATATGAAACACAGGTTACGAAAGCTGAGTCACTACACTGCCGTGAAGTCTTTTCCTGATAGACTATTGTAAACTCTAGCGGGCTTTTCTGGCACTAAACTGGGACAGAGAGTAAATCATTTTATTCCGCTTGATTACTGGAAAACATCTGCCTTGGAATATCATGAATTATATGAATGCCTAGCATTGGATGAGCTCATGATATACCAGAACAATACTTACAGTTTATTTATACTACTTCTGGGCCATGTGATTTGAT